CTTACTTCTTGAGCTGCCCTTTGTAATCTTCTGTTCAACTCTTTTATTTCATCATTTCTTCCTTTCATTTTAGCTATTATTCTACGTTCAAGAAAAGTTTCAATCTCTTCTGATATCCATTTTTGTCTTTCTGTGTTTTAAATGTCTTTTGGATTTCTTCGTATGTTATGTTTTTAATGTCATCCCACAACTCCTTTGGTCTTTGGTCTATAGTGTTCAATACATCAAATAATCTGTTCTTGAGATGGAATAGATTCAGATGGCATATACTCAAGGTCATATTTTGGCTTTTTGGACTTGTTTTAATTTTCTTCAGTTTCAACTTGAACTTACCTACAAGGAATTGATGGTCTGTCCAGCAATAAGCCCCTGACTTTGTTCTAACTGATGATATTGAGTTTTTCCATCATCTCTTTCCACAGATATAATCAGTATGATTCCTGTGCATTTTATCCAGTGAGGTCCACATGTATAGTCAACATTAATGTTGTTGCAAAAGAGGTAGTTGTAAGGAATAACTTGTTGGTCTTTCAAAATTCTATCATGCTATCCTCAGCATAATTTGTATTAGGCACTCATATTTTTATATTACATTACATGGTTACATTAGTAGCTCAATTAAGTAAGGCTGACCTGGAATTTAAATTCAGGTAGTCTGTGTCCTGAGTCCAGGCTCTGAACCAATACATTACCTAGATATTTGTATGTGGAAAAAATGTTAGATAGATATTTTTTGTAGTTTGGAGATAAGAAATCATCCACTTTATCTCTTCTTTTTTCACTTAATGAGATATATATATATATATATGTCAGCATGATTATGTATCTTCCTACAAGACTTCTGATGCTTCCTACTTCTATTTCCATTAATCCCTACTAGTGTAATGGTGGTTATGTGCCTTGGAGTTGGTTCCGACTCATAGTGACCCTGTATAGAGTTTCCGAGGTTATAAATCTCCTGTGGAACAGCTGGTAGTTTCGAACTGCTGTCCCTGAGTTTAGCAGCCTGATTTGTAACCACTACACTACCAGAGTTCCAGTGTAGCATCCATTATAATAAACAATTGACCTATCTTTGGCATATGTTTTTGAGCTAATATTCCAGCCTAGCGTTCAGTATTTGTCTATAGGAAGAAAATATTTGGACACATTAGATAAGGACAAACCTACTGACTTTTTATTTTATGAACATGTGAGGATTAGTGAAGTATTTTGAGTATAGATACAATGAAATGTACACTGGGCTGTACCATATCTGTGTATAGGAAGAATTTTTAAAATTTCATTTACTTGTAAACCTATAAATGAATAAAATTCATGTACTGCTTAAGCAGTCCAGCACTAGATAAAGTGCTTATAATGGGAGTGCACCCCCTGTTCTGTAGAAATAATTTTAAGTTAGTATCTTAGGGCCCAGAGTATAATCACATACCATTTAATGATACTAGTTAAAAAGTGACAGAACCTCTTAACCAAGTGTTTTTTGTTTTGCCTTTGCCTTTCATCTTCATACCAGACTTTTAAAGTTTTGTTAGGTTTTTTTTTTTTTTTAAGTTTTTATTGTGAATTGGGTGATAGTTTACATGGGAGAACATCAGTTTTACATTCATCCTATCCTATTTTGTTTCATTACAATGATTAGAATCCCCTCCATGCATCATTATTCAGCAGAATTTCTTCCATTCCCTCTGGTTTTTTTGTTTTTGTTTTTGATGTACATCAAAGCACTCAGGAATATATAACCATTTAACCAACCAAACGGCATACCCCACAAGCCTGCCCACAGTCCTTCAACACAGCCCCTCTCCCTCCCTGAGTCCAGGGTCCCCAGCTGCTCCGTTTCTCCACGTTGTCCTCTTCAGCCTCCATCTCTGGTGTCACTGCTTCTCTGGATACGGTCCCGCACTCCGCTCTTCTCCCTTGATGGTCCCAGGGACCTCTGCTTCTGGACTGCAAGATCAACAACTCTCCTACTTTTGTTACAAAACATCTACCTTTACATTTGCAACACTCACAATCAGTCGTGATAAAAATTATTCACTGTTGAACCACAAGAGTCTTATCCCCATCTCCTTTCACTAGCCCTGTTCAGATATGTTGGAAACCACTCAGTGGAGATTCTACCTTCCCCCGCACCCTCTGGAACTAGGCTCCCTCATGAAAGCTTGTAAACCCATCACTTCATGCCTTTGTAGTCCCCCCATTTTGGGTAGCCAACCAACTAACCAGCTATTTTTGAATGCCACATAATAAAACAGTTTGATGTATTATTGAATACTACTGTGGCACTGTGGGCTAATGTGACAGACTGCAAAGTCATTTGAACTGAAAGGTCAGTGGTTCAAGCTCACCAGCTGCTCCTTGGAAACCCTATACAGGGTTGCGCTGGGTCAGAATCGACTCAACGACACTTAACAACAGCAACAATTCACATATAGTTTGAAAAAATAGCTGTAAACTGCTCATTAGAGCTCCCATTGAGTAGATAACAGAAATAGGAGAGCAGTGGAATTGGTTTTAGTTTCAAGAAGAGGCATCGGATATGCTAACTTCAAAGATGGTTGACCATCTGCATTACCTCTAGGAAAATAAAGGCATTTCTGAGTTAATAAGTTGCATACATATATATACCTCCTCTCAACCCAGGCTTTTTGTCCTGTTGCTGTTGTTATATGCCATCAAGTCAGTGCTGACTCATAGTGACCCTACATAGAGTTTCTGAGAGCAACTTGTGGGTTTGAATTGCTGATCTTGAGGGTACCAGTCTGATGCAAAAGATTTTTCATGTGAAGAGTTAATATCCATTTTGCTGTTTCTCATGCAGAATCAGCTAACACCACAACTCTCTCTCCATTTAGCAGATAAGATACCCAAAGCTCAGAGTTCAAAGGACTTGGCTAAGAGCCATAGCCTAAAGCTCTAGGACTAACCTTAGCCCTCTCATACTAAAATTTCCCAATCAGCTGCTAAGCATAGGACCGAGATTCCTGCTGCCTTCTCCTTTTGAATATCTAAAGTTGGAGAACTCATTTTTCAATTAAGTAGTTTATACTTTATACTCTTAACAGGATCCTACGAACTCTGGCATGCAACTATAAAATGATGGAAGAATAAGTATAAAAAGCTTTGCTAGGGAAGTATCTAAGGAATGATAAGTCAGTAGGATGGAATTAAGAGAATGAAAATTACTAATGGGGCATGATGCCGCTAAGATGATGATAACAGGGTGGAGCAAAGACGGTAATAACAGTTGAAAAGGCAATGAAAGGAGGGTGGGTATAATGGTTTAGCAAAATAAATGGTCTCTCATAAGTGAGGGCAGAGTGCATTTATCCATCTGTGAATAGTGTGATGAGAAAATATTAAGCTGAGTCATTTAAACAGTCTGAATAATAACAGTAATAATAAAAACTAAAATACAATAGAGTGAGTATAATATGGGACAGTAGTCTCCAACTGCGACATAAATGCTAAAAGCAGTTTAGCTATTTATTTTCAAAGCTGGAAACTTAATACCAAATAACCAGTGGAGATTTAAACAATTTTTCTACTTGACACTTGTGTAACTAAGACGCAATTGTTCACTGGCTATTATTGACCTGCTGTATTTTAATGTACTTAAGAAACTTTTTTCAGTCAAGCTGAGGAAAGCACACTAAGAAAAGGAGCCTGGGTTTCCTCAGTATCCAGATTTATTGAGTGTTCTAAATTCTGGTAAAATCTCTTCTCTCTAAGTTATGGTATAAGAGGATTGTTGTTGTTAAGTGCCATCAAGTCAGTTCAGACTCATAGCGACCATATTTCTAAGGAACACCTGGTGGGTTTGAACTGTGGACCTTGTGGCTCAAAGTCCATGTTGATCCTACAGCACCACACCATAAATCCAATTTGAAAATGTACATACACATTAATCTTTATGGTTTTCATGTTTGCTGATTTTTATTTCAAATGTGTCTTTATTCAACCAATCTGCTAATAGGAATGTAGAAAATGTATTTTAGTATTATGTTGCAATAGCATTTGGGGTAGTAACTAAGATATTCTCTTCCTAATGCCCCTTTGTACTTTTCTGAAAAAAGCCTCAGTAGAAGGTTTAGAATTAAACCTGGTTATTTTTAAGATAAATGAAGGCACCTAAAAGTCTGAACTTTGTTGAGACATTCAATTTATATGCAGTAGGTAGGGAGTGAGAGAGTTAAGATCCCAGAATTCAAAAGGAAAGTACTTCCTATTATATCCTCAACAGCATATATCATCAAGCAAAAGTGATTGGCTGGTCAAATTTCAGGTAAGACTGTATATAAAAAGAGGGTGAAATTTAAAAAGAGACTAATAAAATTTTATCATACCAAGAAATATATTCCTTTGGCATTACCTTTGTGGTGAACTATAAGGCCGGCAGGTCAAACCCACCAGCTACTCCTTAGAAACCCTGAATAGGGTTGCTATGGGTCGGAACCGACTCGATGGCACTCAACAACAGTGTCAATATTATGGAAGTACAAATCAGAAGGGAAAGTTGAGTTATTATTTACCAAAATAAAATTTTCAGATACTTGGCTTAACTGAAATGTTGTAAGATTCAGTGAGAACAAAGAAGAAATCCATATTTAACAAAGGTCCATATTTCTTGGGCCAAAAAAGTCAAGCCCAGGACAAAGATACATGACCTGAATTTGACTTTTAGTAATATACACAGATCTCCCAAAGATCTGTAATCTTGGTGGTGGGTTTTTCCAGTCAAAGGTAGGAGCCGATTTGTAGTACCTTCATATATTGATGGTATCTTCTAAGATAATTTTTGTTTAAAGTCTCTGTGTTTTAAATTTCACTAATAGCTCTCTTTGATACTTTAGTGTCAATAGGAAGGAAAGAAGAACACTTTGCAGAAGATACAATTATATAGGCATGGAAATTCATGCATTTTAGCATTGTTTGAGTAACTAAACATAAAAATCTGTATTTATAACTGCTCCATGATGCTATTTTTTCCCCTTTAGAGCGTGTTTTACCCACAATCCCCCACCCCATTCAAGGTCAGTATGGTTTTTATCACTGTAGCTTGTTAGCTGGGTCATTCTCCATGATCTATAATGTGTAAAACACACAAAAATGAAAACATACTCAAAATTCACAGACAATAAAAATCTTTTTCCACAACTTAAACCTTCAATAAAAAATCATTCAGTTACTCCCAAACTAGCTGGTAGATATGTAATAGGTCTGTCATCTAATCTAACTTCAAGTCAGTCAGTAACTGGGGAGACAATGCTAAACTTAGAAATCAATTTTCCTTTAGTCGGTATTTATTATAAGTAACTATGATCACATTTCTTAGAACACAGCCACTTAAATTGTTAATCACCTCCAATCCATGCCCTTGCCTCACCAAATACAAATACTCTGACCTCCTTCACATATGGAGGTTGACACAGCCTGAATTTGAAGCCACTGTCATTTACTTGCATTACTGCCAAATCTTAACACAACCAGATTACAAGGACATTATTTTTGTCTTAAAAAGACCTACTATGGGACTTTCCTATTGAAACATAACTATCTAAAAACACATACAAACACACAAAAAAACAGAGTAGACTTTCTGAATTCCTTTTCATAAAGCTCTGAATACTCAAATTAAGTTTTGCTTCCTACATCACATTTAGATGCAAGTTGCAGTTACAACCTCCTAGCTTAAGGCTATTTAAAGGCAAATTGGCAAATAAAATTAAAACAATGCAAAAAAATCTGAAATGAAACCAACCTACCATTGAAATTAAATTCCAGAAAAGTGATTTGCAAATAACACTCAAAGACCTGAGAAAAAACGGAAACTAGGCCATGCGGGACCAAGTGTGGAAAAAATAAATCCAATTAGCAAGATTATCATATACAATATAAAAGAAATGTGCTCAGAATTAAAGGTGGAAAGCAGCTATTTCATAAGTTTGAATTTGGACCATGTTTCATTAATACTTACCTAAACTAAAAAATAGAACAAAATTGGGTGTAAATATTAAAAGTGTCAATAATGCAATGTTTTGCATATGTATGCATTCACATATATAAACTTATTTTAATTATTTTTAAATGAGCATTGCAAAGTTTCAAGGATCAACTGGACAGTTCAATGAAAGATTTACTTTTAAATGTTAATAAGAATCCAACCAGTTTCAGTATAAATGCTTTGATGAACTCTGTTAAACAGAAAACTTGCCTAATGAAATCTGTTTCTTACCCCAGCTATTCAAAAAATGGCTGTTAAAATTTGCCTATTTTTTAGATGTGGAACAGTTTAGTGTTCCTGGAAAATATCCTATTTTAGATTCCTGACATGTCATAATTATTTTAGAAATATATCTTCTATTGCTATAGATACTGACACAATTTTATCATGTTACCATCTTATAAGTATCTTGATGTGACAAACACATACATACACATTTGTCCCAATAACATTTTCAAAAAGGCCATGCTCCATCCAAGATAAGTTTTCTACAGTGTCACTTTGATGCTAGGAATCCTTTGTGTGAGCCATTCTCTAGCCACAAACTCAAATATCTATCATGCATTTTGATAAATGTTCATTTAATGCTGAACAAAGTGAGGCCAGATACCATGCACAAAGGACAGAAGTCGGATATTGAAAAACAGTCTGGATGGAGCTCGTGGGGTTTTGTTGAGCTTTTTATTTTACCATGAATTGAATTTTGATTGGAGAATGACCCTAGTTTGATTTTACGTTGTAGATAGAATATAGTTAATCTCCTTAGATCCAATAGTTTTTAGAGACTGTAGTTTATCGTTCTACTAATACTTGGCACTTCTGCGGGTGAAAATTGAAAAGCTGTTCATTAAGACCTGGGATAGCTGGTGTGAAAGGTTGGTATAAGAAGATAGCCTCTTCCTTAAGTTCTATATTCTTTACAAGAACTTTAACTTCTTAGCGATCAAAATCTCTTTTCTCCTCCTATATCTAATCAAGATGGCAGCCCATGTGAAATGCACTCTTTCATGGAAAGAAATAATAACAATGGGAGTCTTATCCCGTTTTATACTGCCAATTAAGTACCTAGTTATCTATGAAAAGCATACATTACTGTCTAATAAGTCTTGCACAAGACACCTTCATTTAATTAAATCTTAGATATTGTCATCAGCTGTGTGGAAGCCTAAATTTGAATCCTGACGTATTAACATGTGTCTAAGCAGTTGGTTAAAGGACTTCTGGTAGCGTAGTGGTTACGAATCGGCTGTGAACTGCAATGTCAGCAGTTCGAAACTACCAGCGGTTCCACGGGAGAAAAATAAGGCTTTCTGCTCCTGTAAAGATTTACAGCCTCGGAAACCCTGTACAGGGTCACTATGAGTCGGAACCGGCTCCACGGCACATAACCACTACCACTAAGCAGTTGGTTGGTGTAAATGGCTTGAAGAATTTTGAACCAAATTAATTTAAGGTACTCCAAGTATGATAAAGTCATAAAGATCCTTTTCTACCCCTAACCCCATGATAAAAAAGAGAACGCTCTCTCCCACTTCCCAGACTAACAGAAATACATGCTTACTATCAGCTGTTTCCTTGTTAAGATCTCTCATTGGAGGGTCTCCTCCTAACCCCACTTGCCATGGCTCATCAAGCTGACTGGTGAGAAACAGCTGAGTCACAGCAGGAATTCAGTCCTAAACCCCTTCAAGCTGTGATTAAACAAAAACAAGGCTCAATAAATCAAAACCTATTTCCCTTGGGTTTCCTTCATCATATTGCTTGATTTTCTGCAGTGATAAAATAATAACTGTATCTGAAATTGCACCAAAGAGTAATTTGTATTGGTGTGGCAATCAGAAAATTTTAAGTGCCTGCATTCTTTCTACCAAAAGCATAACCCCCCAAAAAAGTTTACTTCCCTACTCCTTAATTTAAAAGAGCTATATAAATAAATGAAATAAATTTGTGTTCCATCCTAGATCTGTTTCTGATAGGTGTTTTTCTCCATTAATTTTAATTTAGGTTTATTTATTCTGAAATGAGTCATGAATTGCATATATTTGCATAACTACCCCTGACTATATTGCTGCAGAAAATCCAATGAATTGTAAAATGAAGAGAGAGGAGGTTAAATGTCGGAGAGAATGCATCTCACTTTCTTGAACTCAAATCATTTCCTGGGGCTTCAGAACACTTGGAAATGATAACATCGCTGGTCCCATCACCCACGAACTCACTTGTACAGAGCCCTTCTACTGTATGAAAACGCATCTAGAAACACCCTCATCGTTAGAAAGACTATGGATTCTGAAGGAGGTGATAAAACCAGCCTCAGAAAGTTAAGTGAACCAGGGGAAAAGTACAAGAACAAGCTTCCCTTGTTGTTTTTGTTTTGTTTTGTTCATAACAGAAGCGAAGCATTCCCTTGAGCTTGGGGCCCTTTGGGCTAAATCAGCCCATCTTCTCCCATCGTCTGCCACTTAAAAAACAAAAACAAAAAACCTGGAATATGTCTCACTTGTTTGCCTCCCATCTGATTATTTATCCCCAGTGAACAGCCTTTCCATTCACTAACCCCGCATGGCAAGTGGGTTTGGGAAATGTTGAGATTATCTTCTAGGCTCAGGCAGCGCACTGGGTTTTTACACAGCTGCTTGCCATTCAGTCCCTGTTTTCCATTGATAAAACACATTGCACATGGCTGGGTTTGCATGATTAATACAGCTGTCTAAAGCTCTCTCTGAAAACAAAACAACCCCCAAATTAAAGTTGTTTTTTAAGAAAAAGTAAGCCCTAAGCCACAAGCAAGATGGACTCATAGAAATATGAAGTCAACCTGGCACATTTCTTCCTAAACGGACATCAGTGTTGTGAAGGTCAGGCTGTAGCCTGAGAACAGACAAAGGAGGAGATGTACCTGTAACTCGCCTGGAATTTCCAGGAGAGGATTTTTAAAATCAGACTCCATTGGGGTGCAAGGGAAACTGGGAGAAAACTCTTGAATACCTCCCATACTAGCAAGGTTACTGGATGACCTCTACAGTTTTATTTCCTGTAGGATATCATCCTCATACCAATAAGAAAAATGCCTCTTTTCAGTTCCCTATTATAATAGCAGTTTCACCTTGTCTAATATTAACAGCAGTCTTAATAACAACAGTTAACACACATGATGAGTTTATCATGTACCAGTAAGGTTTTAGGGACTTTTACATGTTTTTAATTAATCCTCACAACAACCCTAAGAAAATAGCATACACCTTCTCTCACTTGTTTTAATCATGAAAGTGAATCCACATTCCAACATACCTTGCACTGCCCCAGGCACATATATAAAACTGCAGTAGATTAAAAACAACCACAATGTATATATATATCCATTTTAGTTAAATATGTATCTATTTTATGAAGTCTAAACTTCATCTCATTTATTTTATGTATTATAAGAGATTTCTATGAAAGCATTCATCTTTGTAAAACATGAGTGTAGCTAACTGGCATTGGCACATCTAATTTCACACACTCATTCAGGCTGATTTACATATACACCTCTATTAATCATGGATAATTACTAGCATTGTTCTCTGTAATTCAGTTTTTCCAACTGTGAAATGGGAAAGAAATTATATTTTTCATGCCTACAAGCTTCAAGTGGTGTTTAAATAATACATATTTTAAAAAGAACTTAAAGTTCTTAGCAAGAAAGTATACTGGATTTAGAACAATCCTATGTATGTGCACATATCTCTTAAAATTTTAAAAAAGACTGCTATATAAAGATGAAGGAGCTCTGGTAGCGTAGTGGTCATGAATCTTGCTGCTAATCTCACAGTCAGCAGTTCGAAACTACCAGCTGTTCCATGGGAGAAAGAGGAGGCTTTCTGCTCCCATAAAGATTTACAGCCTCAGAAACCCTGAACAGGGTCGCTATGAGTCGGAACCAACTCCACGGCACATAACAACAACAACATATAAAGTTGTGTTTGTATTACCTTGCTTGAATCTTAGCTAGATAAAAGTTCAGCATGACTTCGTGAAATTTTAATG